CGCGCGCTCCCCTCCCTGCATCCTCAGCTCTCGCGCTCACCCAGCCCGGGTGCCCAGCCCCGATGCCCCTCCCCTTCCAGGTGTGCTGGGCTGCGCAGCCGCCGTCGCCGCCCTCGCCGCCCTCCGTGCCGCCGCTGCCTCCCTCCGCGCCTCCGCCTCCCTCCATGCCGCCGTCGCCGCCGTCGCTGCCGTCACCGCCGTCACCGTCGCCGCCGTCACCGCCACCACCCTCGCCGCCGTCGTCACCGCCCTCGCCGCCGCCGCCGCCGCCGCCGCCGACGACGCCGCCGCCGCCGCCGACGACGCCGCCGCCGACGCCGCCGCCGCCGCCGCCGCGCCGCCCGCCGCTCCAACCACTGCCGCCGCTCCGGCCCAACGAGGTGTCCGCAGCGACAGAGAATGAGCTTCGCTCCTTGATTGACAAGGCTGTGAGTGAGGGCCAGGAGGCGTACATCCTCGTCGCCCCTGGCGCCCACATCATTCTGGGAGCGACGCCATTGCCGCCGCCCTCACCGCCTTCGCCCCCCTCGTTGCCGTCGCCGCCGTCGCCGCCCTCACCGCCTTCGCCCCCCTCGCCGCCGTCGAGCCCGTCCGCTTTGTTCTCCATCACCACGACGCCGGGAATGTACCCAGCAGAGGTGAGCTGGGACCTCCGCTGCGGCGGAGCGGTGGTCAAGTCATCGGCGGTCTACTCCCACAACGACGTAGGCTTCTTCCAGACCGAGTACACCGTCGCCCTCTCGCCCGGCGTCGAGTGCGAGCTCGACATGAAGGACTCGTACGGCGACGGCTGGAACGGAGCTACTTGGTCGGGCCTCGGGCAGGAGGGCCTCACCTTTGCCTGCGTGCATACCGAAGCCCAGGCTCGCAGCTGCCTCGAGCAGACGTCTTCCCCTTTTGAGGTGCGTCCACTGTCGCCGCCTTTCTCGCCGTCGCCGCCCTCCGTACCGACGCCGCCCTCCGTACCGCCGCCGCCGCCCAACGGAGAGGAGTACTGTGAGCAAGGAATGGATGCTACTGCCATCGGCCAGACGGAATGTCAAAGATCGAGCTGCTGCTTTTGGTGTACAGAATGCAACTTCGGATCTGGTCGATGCTGGAGCAGCATAGGGCCAAACATTTGTTTTGACATCCAGCTGCCGGAGTCCTCGTCGCCGCCGCCTCCGCTGCCGCCGCTTTTGCCCCCGCAACCGCCGGTATCGCCCCCTCCGCCGCTGCCGCCGCTCTCGCCAGAGTCAGGTACTGGCCGCCGTGCTGCGGAGGTGGTGCTCGACTCATCGCTGGAATGCAGCGGCCAGATCTCACTCGTTGTTCGCAGCGAAGGAGTCGGCGCGACTATCGACGGCCAGGGTCGGTCGCGAATCTTTTCCCTCTCCGGCGGGTGCAGCCTGACCCTCCAAGGGCTGACGCTCGTCAATGGCCACTCCGAGATCGGCGGCGGCGCCATCCAAGGGTCCGGTGCGGGCTCCCTCAAGCTGGCCGACACGAACATCAAGGATTCCGTGTCCGGTGGAGATGGCGGCGGCATCGGCATGGTCGACAGCGGAGACGTCGAGCTCGAGAGGTCGAGCCTCTCTGGCTGCCGCGCCGAGGGCGACGGTGGCGGCATTTCAACCCGGCATGGCGGTGCGCTTGCGCTGGGCAGCTCGTCTATCGTCGACTGCACCGCCGGTGCAGACGGCGGCGGCATCGACATGGCCGCAAGCGGTGCGCTTTCGCTGACTGACAGTGCTGTGAGCAACAGCACGGCCGCGAACACGGGCGGAGGAGCCAGATTCGATAGCAGCACGAGCATCGCAACCCTCGTGAGGTCGAACGTGAGCGAAAACCGGGCGGCCTCAGCCTCGGCATTCTACTACAGCGGCCCCACCTCCGCGCCGGGTTTATTTCGTGACTCCCAATTTGTGAGCAACGTCGCCGGCGACGGAATCACCATCATGGCCGTCTCCCAACTAAGCTGGTTCCCCTGCCCGCTCGGCGAATGGATGCCCACTCGTGGCGCGTTCAAGGGCGACGTGCTCGGCTGCAACGCCTGTCCTGAGCGGCACTACGGCGACGCCAGTAACCTGGAGACGGGCACCTGCAGCGGCATCTGTCCCTTCGGCCATTACTGCGGGGAGAGGACCGTGATCCCGTCTCCTTGCGGCAATGGAACTTACATGCCGCTGCTGGGAGCGTCCAGGCCCGAGGATTGCCTCAGGTGCCCGCGTGGACAGTATCAGTCGGAGCGCGGGCAGCCAAACTGCACCGTCTGCCCTGACGGAACCTACTCGGCGAGTTCCGGAAGCTCGGCCTGTGAGGAGTGCCCGCCGGGCGGCTACTGCGAGGTGGAGGATGGGAGCATGGTCCGGCATGCGTGCCCCGCCGGCAAGTACAACCCGGAAACCCGCTCCACCTCGATCGAATCGTGCCGTCTCTGCCCCTCCGGCACCACGAGTCCCCAACCAGGACAAGCAAAGTGTTCTGAATGCGAGGTGGGCACATACGCACGACAACCCAATGGTGAGTGCGTCCCGTGCCCATTTCCAATGAGCAGTGGGCGCGGTAGCGTCAAGTGCGACATCTGCTTGTCCAGTCTGCCGCCGCCGCCGCCGCCGCCAATGCCCTCGCCGCCTAGTCCGCCGCTGCCGCCGCCCTCGCAGCCGCTCGACTGCCCGTGCCTCACCGCCTACCCGGCCGGCGTCAGCCTCGTGAGCGACGAGCTTCAGGTCGTCGTGGGCGGCGTGAGCTTCGCGTACCCCGGCACGTACGGCCTCCACGCGTGCGGCCGACACGACAGCGGGCTGGAGCCGTCCTGCAACTCGACCGGCTACCCCGGCTGGTGCGAGCACGAGTGGTGCTACGTCGACCAGGCCGCGTGCAACACCGAGTACAACCCGACCGCATACGTGGAGGGGACCACCCTGCACTACTCGTACCGTGCGTGCGGCTTCAACAACGAGTTTGAAAGCTGGTTCTACCAGCCGCCGCCGCCGCCGCCGCCGGCCGCCAGCCTGGTTCAGGGCTTCTATCTCGTTGACCCTCCCTCTGGGACTCCTTACTGCCGCCCCTGCCCACCGAAAGCCAACTGTGCCGCCTTCAACACCACCCTCGCGACTTTGGGCGTCGCTCCCGGCTACTGGCGCGCCAGCCTCTCTAGCGCAGTACTGACAAAGTGCCGGTCCTTCGGGGGCGACAGCAATGCCGGTGAGAGGCGGTGTGCCGGCAGCGACCCGGTGGATGGAGACTATTATGAGACCGACTATTGTGCCCCTGGCTTCACCGGCCCCGAGTGCGAGCTCTGTGCCGCGGAGAACCACTACCTCGCCGACGGCGTCGAGTGCAAGGAGTGCGCTCCGCGCGGCGCGTCGGCGGCACTCATCGCCGGCATCGTCTTCGTCCTCTGCGTCGCTTGCGGCCTCGCGGCGTGGGCCTACAGCGAGACGGGCTGGCGGAAGAAGGCCTACATCGGCCCTATCCTCCGCTTTGCAGACCGCATCGTCAAGTACTACGTCGGGGGCGGAATGACGGCAAAGCTCAAGATCCTGTTTGGCTTCTACCAGATCAGCACCGTGTTGTCCTCCACCTACTCCGCGCGGCTGCCGGAGGAGTACACGGGATGGACCGAAAAGCTGGCCAACGCGATCTCCATCGACTGGTCTGGCTTGTTCCTGCCGGAGCAGTGCCTCAGCTACGATCAGCGGCTCCTCGCCATCGCGCTCTCCCCCGTCGCCCTCATCGCGGTGCTAATGATCGCGGGAATAAGCCTGCGGCTCCACGGCTGGCGTGCTGCCCCTGCTCCGCGCGAGAGATCGTGGTACGCGGAGGCAGCCCTCGGCCTCCTCGACCTCACGCCGGCGGGCCTCGTGCTCATCTTCTGCTTCGTTCCCTCAATCAGCGCCTCCATCTTCCGCTCCTGGTCGTGCCAGGCGCCTCGCAGCCGACTGCCGTTGCCCACAATTCCAGCACACCCCTCCTGCCTCAGTCCTCGCAACGTGCTGCTGATAGGCCTACACCATCTCTCCGCCCGGCGAGGAGCTGGATCTGATCGAGTACATGCGGCAGGACGCGAGCGTTGAGTGCGGTTCCGACCAGCACGATGACATCACCAATCTCGCCATTGGTTGCATCGTCGTCTGGCCCGTCGGTTCGCTGGTCCTCTTCACGGCGCTCCTCGCCGCCTGCTACAAGCCGCTGCAGGCCAAGACGCCGAATGCTCTGACGCGGGCCACCGCCTTCCTCCACCGGGAGTACGAAACGACCTATTTCTGGTGGGAGGCGGTCGAGCTGGCGCGCAAGCTCGTGCTGACGGGCTTTGTGCTGCTGATACCGGAGGAGCGCGCCTTCCTTCGCCTGGTGGTAGCGACCCTGATCTGCTCGTGCTACGCCGTCGCGCTCGCCGTCGTGCGGCCGTACAAGCGGGTCGGCGACGACGTGCTAGCCGTCGCGGCCGGTCTCGTGCTCCTCCTCCTCTTCCTCGGCGCCAACTGGACGACCATTTTCCTCGGCATTGAGGAGCGGCACCCCGGCACAGCGGAGGCCGCCGCCATCCTCGGGTTCGGCAAGCTGAACGGCGTCGTCAACTCGATGCTCGTCCTCGTCGGCGTGACGCTCCTCTTCTTCCTCATCGGCGCCATCGTCGCCGCCCGCCGCGTCGCCATGATCCCCACGATCCGTCTCGTCTCGACCAAGCAGCCTCCCGAGCTGAGCATCGTGCTCGGCCTCAAGTGGCACCTCTTCATCAGCCACATCTGGTGAGTCACGGAGCGAGAACAGGGAAAGAAAACGGCCGGCGTCACCCCCGCCCCTTACCCAAACGAATAGGTCGACCGGGCAAGACGCCGTAAAGGTCATCAAGGGTGAGCTTCAGCAACTACTGCCGGATATCAAGATCTTTCTCGACGCGCGCGCATGCTCAGCAGCGCTGCTTAAGCTGCACACAGAGCCCCTCTGACGCACCGCGGTGTGCTCTCACAGGTAGATGATCTAAAGGATATTGGGGCGCTCGAGGAGTACATCCGGCGCTCGCAAACCATCCTCTTCTTCCTCTCGAGGGGCTACTTCCGCTCCAAGGCGCACCTCTCCCTCCCACAGCGTCTTGTTCGCACTCTGGCGCTACCTCCCGCCTCCCACGCTACAGAACTGCCTCCGCGAGATCCGCTCGTCGCTCGAGCAGAGCAAGCCGATCGTCCTCGTCCAAGAAGCGGACCCTGAAAAGGGCGGCGGGACGCTCCAGGCGCTGCGCGCGGAGTGCCCCGAGGAGCTGCAGCCCGACGTCTTTGACAAGGACTGGCCGCTCACGATCTGGTTCCGCATCGATGAGTTCCGGCTCATCTCCCTCAAAATCATCGCCAAGGCGCCGCGCGGGCCACAGCCGGCCGCTACGCAGTCCTCTCCATCTCCCGATGTTCCCCACCTGAACCACAGGCGCTGCTCCTCTGCTCGCCCAACTATCTGAACAAGACCTCCCTCCCGCTCTGCGTGTCGGGCGAGCCCGAGAGCCAGTCGCTTGCCTTTTCCAAACATACCACGCTCTGGGCCTCGCCAGCCAACCCGGGCGCCGCAGAGCTGGCTTGCGAGCTTGCCACGGCCTTTCGCGGCCTCACCGTCTCTACCGTTGCGGACATTGGCTCTTCTGCATCGGTGCGCCCCTCCATGGCACTTCGCGTGTTGGCACGCCGAACGCGCCGCGGGGCCGGCGATGTGACCCACATGCTGTTGTACCTCAATCAGAATACCTGGTTGGAGGAGGACGGCGAGCGGCTGGCCGAGCAGGTCAAGCAGGCGCGCGAAGACAAGCTGAAGATCGTCATGGCGCACGAGAACGACCCGGACCGCGGCGGCTGCCAGTTCTCGAGAATGTTTGAAGTCACGCCGCAGGAGCGAATGTCACACAGTGACCCGTCCCGCGCCTCCCCTCCCCCCACACGCCTCCTGCCAACGCCGCAGGAGCTCATCGCCGGCGGACTCTACAAGGACCTGGCAAACTCGTGCTTCCCAGGGCGCCACCGCAAGGCGCGTGCCCTCTCTGCCACAGCTCGTTGTGTGTGATCGAGCTTCGTGACAAGGGGTGTCCCTCTTCGCAGGTGTCGCTCGTGCTTCTGGCAAAGCGCCTCGGCGCGAGCCCCGCTCGGTCGCAGGCGGACCTCCTTTCGGACAGCATCGCCGAGGGCAGCACCAGCCTCGCGAAGCGCAGCTTTGGCGGCCTCAGCCGTGTGTTCGCCAAGATGAGCAGCCGCAGCTCTGCGGAGGCGCGCGACGTCTCTGGAGGTGAGGCGTCGGTGCCGGTGCAGCAGCAGGTCTGATCAGTTGCGAGGCGGACCGAACTCACATGTTAGCACAAAGGTCGCGCATGGTTGGTCGCACCGTGGGGCGGGGGCGGGCGAGTGCACGGAGCTACGTGCCTCGCCGCCCTCGCGGGAGTCGCTTAGGCGGCTCCCGTGTGGTGTACCTGTGTTAGTGCGAGTGCGCGCCAGTCGCAGTCCCGTGCCCATAAACAAATAAATAAATACAACGGACACGCCAAACGAGGGGTGGGAGAAGGACAGGGTCCCCACCTGCACGAGCAGGATCTTGTAAGGACGATCAGGGACACAGGGGAACGGTTACGGGGAGCGCATCGCGACACGGAGGGGGGCTGGGCAGGGTTCACCCACACGACAGGAGCGGCCGCACTCTGCTCGCTACCCCCCCTGCACAACTAAGCTCATCCCTGCTGCTAGGGGGGGGGTCTGACCCCCCCAGCAGCAGAGCGCTCCTGCTGGGGGGGGGGGGTCCCGACCCCCCCAGCAGCAGAGCGCTCCTGCTTGGGGGGGGGGTCCCGACCCCCCCAGCAGCAGAGCGCACTGGACCCAGCTCTCCCGCCTCCTCGCCGCCGCCCCCCCCTCTCCGCCCTCGGTTCGTGTTTAAGCGGTACTCGTACGCTCGAGGCGGTTGTGTTCGCCGCGCCTTCGAGCCCAATACACCTCGCGAGAAAGCTCTGCGCGGTACTCGGCAGTGTCGCAGTGTCGAGCAACACTCGGTGTCAGAGCGTCGCCCCTCCATCAGTAGTCTCATCATCGAGTGATTGCTGGCCTGTGGCGTATGACCTCGCGCGGATATCACCAACGACGAGCATGCGAAGATAGGGAACAATGTCTTGTACAGCCCGCTGTGCTCCCCGCTGTGCCACGGCGTACGATGGGCTGCGAGAGCCGTATCTACTTCCCTCCTTGAAGCAGAGGAGCCGCGAGGCACGAGAGGCGTAGAAGAGAGGCTGGCGTGCCCCGCACCTCCCGGTTGGCAGTAGGAGGGCCCGCCGGTGAGACCACTGATTTTGATGCCGACTATAAATTCTCGCCACTGGAACGCATGCTACTTACAGCTGCTGTCTGTACAGAGATGCCAGCACCCCCCACAGGCAGAGCGCTCCTGCTGGGGGGGGGTCCGGACCCCCCCAGCAGCAGAGCGCTGCTGCTTGGGGGGGGGGGGGGGTCCGACCCCCCCAGCAGCAGAGCGCTGCTGCTGGGGGGGGGGTCGGCCATGAGCTTAGTTGTGCAGGGGGGGTAGCGAGCAGAGTGCGGCCGCTCCAGGGTCCCAGGGATTCCTCTCTCGTATAGGACAGGTTGCACCCGGCGGTCCCGTGCCCAGCGCCCCCACCACCTCGTCACCCGTCAGCCGTTCGAGATCCGACGCAGGGCGGATCCCCGTTGGCAGCGCCCCCCCCCCCTCCTCCGTCATATCCACCGCCCGGACATCCCAAGTCTGAGCCACCTCTGATACGCCCCCCGGCCCGTCTCCTCCAGCCCTGGCTGGCTAGCCCTCCCCGCCTCCTCCCTTCTCGTGAAAACGTGTGCCAGGGGCCGTGGCATGAGGCTTCTCTCCCCCCCTCCTCTCCGAGGCTGGGCCTCGTCGCTGCGTGGGGGGGCGGGCCCGTGGCCCTCCCTCAGAGCCGCTCCCGTCGTCGGCCCCCAGCCCCTCTCCAATGGTACCGCCGCCCCTCCGAATCACTGATTCGGCACGGCGCTGACGTCAACCTGCAGGACATCAAAGGCTACACCGCGCTGATGGGCGCCGCCTACAGTGGCCACCTCGCCGTCGTGCTCCGCTTGCTTCGGGCCGGCGCGGATGCAAAGGCTCGCTCTGCGGCCGGCATGACGGCGCTGCAGATCGCCGAGGAGGCGGCCAAGGTGCTAGCTACTGCCGACGCCGCCAGTGCTCCTGAAACAGACCAGGCCGGGTGCGTGCGCGCTCTCACAGAGCACGCAGCGGCGCTGAGGGAGGCGCAGGCGGCGGAGAAGGCGGCCGAAAAGGCGCTCGAGGTCAAGGGGCGGCGCGAGCAGCGCGAGCGGGAGGCGGCGGCGGCGGCGCGAGAGCGGGAGCGGGCAGCACGACAGCGCGAGGCAGAGCGAGCGGCGGACGAGGCGCGCCGGGCAGCGGACGCTGCGGCGCTGGAGGAGCAGAGGCGAGCGATTGCGGCGGAGGCGGAGGCGAAGCTGGCCGCTGAGCGCGTGGCAGCAGAGGAGACGCTGCGGGCGAGGAAGACAGAGAGGCTTGCGGCGGAGGAGGCGCAGCGAGAGGAGCAGCGGGCGGCCGCGGCGGAGCGCAAGGCCGCTCAGGCAGAGGCGGCGCGGCGCGAGAAGGAGAGGCTGCGGATAGGAGGGCGGAGGAGGAGAAGGCGAGGCGGCGCGCAAAGGCGGCGGAGGCAACGGCGGCCAAGAAGGAGGCCAAGGCGAAGAACAATAAGGCCAAGAAGGCGCCGTCTGCTTTCGCGCTCGAGGAGGAGCGGAGGGCGAAGGCTGCGGCAGAGGTTCGCGCACAGGAGGAGAGGGCGGCGCAGCTGGCTGCTGAGCAGGAGTCGGCGAGGCGGGCGGAGCGGGAGGCGGCAGAGCTAGCGGGTGCGGCAGAGCGGGCGGCGCTGCGCGAGGATGCGGAGCTGGCCGAGGCGCTGCGCCGGTCAGAGGTGGATGCGGAGGAGGCACTGGCTCGTCGGGTGTCGCGGTGCGAGGAGGCGGTGAGCAGCGAGTCGACCGGCGGCGGCGGGGACTTGCCGCGGCGTGTCGAGCGGCTGGAGGCGAGCCTCGGCACGGCGACTGAGGGTAGCCTCGAGGAGCGGGTCGGCGCCATCGAGCGCTTGATCGGGCCAGAGGCGGGAGAGGCGGCGGAGCAGCATCTGCCAGTCACCGAGCCGCTTGCTGCCGTCTCGCTAGCGGACGCCGGCCTCGACACGGGGCGGCCGGCTGCCCCCGAGTCCACGATGGGGGGAGAGACCACGTGCATCGTGTGTTTCGCGAGAGTCAAGTCGCATGCTGCGGTTCCGTGCGGGCACCTGTGTGCTTGCGGGCCATGCTCTGAGCTGATGCAAGAGTGCCCTTACTGCCGCGAGCCAGTGATGATGTGGATGGTTCCGCGTCCGGTCTAGACTAGGAAAGTAGGAATCCTATGTGTTTGGAGTCGGTAGATTATCGAGGGATGGGACGAGGACAGGGTCCCCACCTGCACGAGCAGGATCTTGGAAAAAAAGAAAGAAAGAAAACAGACAACCCAAGGGAGGGATGGGAGTGGAAGGACGATCAGCGGCCAAGCACTTGGAGCACTTAGGCAGGGGAAATTCTTTCGCGGCACGACTTTTTAGCGCTTTCCGACGGACCCGACCCGCGCCGTCATCTTCGACCGCCCGCCCGACGAGGACGGCGCAGCGCTCCTCCGCCGGATCGTCGTCTTAGCTTGCGTAGTCACGGTTGGGCGCCGGGCCCTTGTGAGGTCCTGGCGTAGTCACGCGTGCATATCCTTCCACAGCAATGTGCCTCCGGCCGCGCGCTTCGGCTCGCGTGCCGACGCTCGGGTGGAAGCCCGTCATCGCCATCGGGTGGGCCAACGCGGCCCACTTCTATTCCCTCTGCTCCATCTTCTCGTACGCCGGCTTCCTCGCCGTCGACTGCGGCTGGGCCGCCGACGCGGACACGGCGGGCTTTGTCGCGGGTCTGCTTCCCACCGCCGTGCTCTGCGGGCGGCTCTTCACCTCGATCCTGTGGGGCCACGCGGCGGACCGCTGTGGCCGGCGACCGTCGATGATTGCGAGCATGGTCGCCGTCACCCTCGGCAACGTCTGCTTTGGCCTGACCACCAGCCTGCCCGCCGCCCTCGCGGTCCGGTTTTTGCTGATCGGCGCTCTCAACGGGTGGGTGACGCTGATGGGGCTGTGCGTGCTGGAGTGCGCGGGGGAGGCGATGCAGCCCGTGGTCTGGTCGTACGTCTTTGCCACCGGCTCCGTCGTCGCCCTCCTCGGCCCAGCAATCGGAGGATGGACCTACGCTGCGCTCGGCCCGCGCTTCCCCGCCCTCCCGCCTTCCCTGGTTGGCGGCGCGATCGGCGCCACCGCCGTCGCGGTCAACGTGGCCTGGCTGCCGGAGACGAAGCCGCGCGCAGCCTCTTCCTCTGCTTCTGCTGCAACGGCTTCCTCTTCGGCGATCCGGGCAGCTTCTCCTGCCGCAGCGGCCTCCTCTTCAACCCTCCGGGCAGCCTCTACTTCTTTCTCTGCTGCAGCGGCTTCCTCTTCGTACTCCTCTAGAGAAGGGCCGGCCGGCAAGGCGAACAAGGCGGACGCCGGAGGCGGCGCTCGCACGCGCCTCGCCACACACCCGGGCGGCGGCGGCGAAGGCGGCGGAGAAGGCAGCGGCGGCGGCGACAATGGCGGCGGCGACAATGGCGGCGGCGGCAGTGGCGGCGCCGCCGATGGCGCGGCCCGCCCTCCACTCAGCGCTGTGCTGTGCTCTCACCCGCTGCCTCTCGTGATGGTGCTGCGCGCGGCGCACGGGTGTGCGCTGTTTGCTGCCTTCGACCTGGTGCCGCTGTGGTGCATGGCGTCTCGCTATGCCGGCGGGCTCGCGCTGACTGAGGAGCAGCTCGGCACCTCGCTCGCTGCCGGGGCGGTCGTGCAGGCGAGGCCCGCCCGCGGCCAGCCGCGAGATGGCCCGAGTAGTGCACCCGGCCATCCCAAGCCGGGGGGGGGGGGGCAGAAAAGCTCGCGTCGCTCCGCCGCGGTCCTGCGCGTGGTCTTGCGCGCGATCCTGCACGTCAGCAGCGAGATCTGGGGAGATCTGGGGAGATCTGGGGAGATCCTGCACGTCAGCAGCGAGAGTGATTCGAGAGTGGTTCTGAGAGTGGTTCTGAGAGTGGTTCGAGCAGCGGCCGCGGCGGGAGCGCCGGGTCACTCGCACACTCGCCGCCGCCACCCACCCGCCAGGTCGTCTTCACGTCGCTCGCCATGGGGCGCCTCGTGCGCCGCCTCGGGCTGCACGCCTCGCTCACCGCCGGCTGCACAGCCGCGGCACTCCTCACACTCTGCCTGCTCGCCTCCCCCTCCGCCACCGCTGAGCGCTGGTGGCTGCGCGCCCTGGGCGCCTCCCCCCCGTGCACTGCCGGGCCTAGCCGCAACAGAACGGCAGACGCGCCGCGCCTGGCGTCGTGTAGGCGCCTCCCTCGTGTATATCTCCCCATATCTTCCCACATCTCCCCATATCTCCCCATATCTCCCCATATCTCCTCGTATCTCCCCACATCTCCCCATATCTCCCCATATCTGCGTCGTGTAGGCGCCTCCCTCGTGTATATCTCCCCATATATCCCCAGATCTCCCCATATCTCCCCAGATCGCGTGTAGGCGCCTCCCTCGTGTATATCTCCCCATATCTCCCCATATCTCCCCAGATCTGCGTCGTGTAGGCGCCTCCCTCGTGTACGGCCTGCAGACGTCGGCCATGCTCCTCGCCGGCACCGCTCTCGTCTCGATGAGCAACCTGCCCCGCGCCCTAGAAGCGGAATCCCTCCCCATCTCTCCCCATCCCTCCCCAGATCTCGTGCCTCCTGCCCCGCGCCCTACACGCACTCCGCTGTCTTCTGCCTCGTTCCTCTGCAGTCGTATCTCCCCATATCTCCCCATATCTCCCCATATCTCCCCATATCTCCCCATATCTCCCCATATCTCCCCATATCTCCCCATATCTCCCCATATCTCCCCATCCGCAGTCACCCGTACTCGTCGCGCCGAGTGCTCACGCGGTGCTCTGCACACACGGCACGCGAGGCTGGTGCTCCCGCCCCGAGGCTGGTGTCTCCACGCTGTGCCCTCCCACAAACGCACAACCCCGGGGCCCACGACGCACAAGCACAGGCAGTCGAGAAGGGAGAGAGACAGCGGCGGCAGTCAGAAGCCAGCGCTGGGCCCCAGGAAGGCGAATGCGATGACGGACTCTAGTGCGAGCTCGCTCTAGCTAGTGAGCTCATACGCACGCGACTGTACACAGCTGTAGGGAGCTCTGTGTGCCCCCACCACCCGCAGTCTGGTGCGCCGGCCAACCCTGAATCGAAACGGGGCTTGTTTAAAGGGAAATTTTCCCCCCTGAACAAAAAGGGGGGC